CCGGGCCAAGCCGCGCGCGGCTCTCTCTCCCGCCACAGCCAGGTTTGCGGAGGAGGCGTGCGCCCTGCTGACGTCCTCCAAGTTCGAGGCTTGCCACCAGGCCGTGAGCCCTCTGCCCTACGTGCAGAACTGCCGCTACGACGTCTGCTCCTGCTCCGACGGCAGAGACTGCCTTTGCAGCGCCGTGGCCAACTACGCCGCAGCCTGTTCCCGGAGAGGCGTGCACATCGGGTGGCGGGAGCCCAGCTTCTGTGGTGGGTGCCCTCCCTGCCCGCCAGTCCCCGCACAGCCCAGCCGAGCCCTCCTCGGGTGCCCTGCGCACGGCTCGTCCTTTTATAAGCACTGTCTCTGCATTACTGCATTCGGAACCGGGCCCAAGCGCATTTGGCAAGCCTGGGTCGTGAAAACTCTTCGTTTACAGCCGCTGTCGCCTTCCATCTCCAGCAAGACACGGTGGTGGGGACTGGTTCTTCCACAGGACAGTGTGATTACTGTGGCCTGTTCTAGGAGCGCGAGTTGCATCCCCCCTACCTCGAGGTCCAGAACCTTGGAGTCCTTGCCAAGCAGAAATTTCTTGTGGCTCCTGCCACCTAGTGTTCAATACATGTATGGCCAGGTTGAGGAGTAGAGTGGGTCCCAGATCCCAGGGGACATTATCTGCACCCCGGAGGGTCTCATGAAGGCAGTGGGGGGCGGGGGGCAATGCACGTACCAATCCTTCCTTATAACTCCAGGCAAACCATCAGTGGACTCCTGGCCCAAATCTCTGATAAAGTTGTGTAAGGTTGAATGACATCATTGTCCCCAGCTGACTTTGGAGTCTCACTCTGCCATGTTAGATTTCTGCCACCAGAGCTGGTATCTGCTCCACATTCTGGTCCCTAGAGCGGCTAGATTGTGTTCACTTTGTTGTTGGTGGTGCTGCTCTGGGAACACGTGCTGGGTGGCCCAGCAGGGTCAGGCAATGCCAGTGGTGTAGAGCTGGAACCTTCTTCCATTTTGAACTGCTTCCCTACTAGGTGACTATCACACTGAATAAAAGGACACTTAGATTAAGGTAGGGGAAACCAAGGAAGGCTTTCTGGAGGCGGTGTACTTGACCAGGCTTTAAAAAGGCACCATCTTGGCAGAAAAGAGCTGTTCCACGGTGGGACAGTAGTAGTGATGTGTGGAGGTGAGGGGGATAGTCTGACAGGATGAGGTGTCATGAATATTCTGATTTTTACAGTGAAGTGGATGTGCTTGGAGATAAAAATGTCCATGGTCTTGGCAGAAGCAGGAAAATAGGAGCTCTGAGAAATGGTGAAAGGTCCTACTATCATATCATGTATTTGAAGAAAAGCTTAGGTAGGGGGCTCTAGAATGTCTAGAAGTGTTGGGGCCTAATGAGCGCCAACTCACGTTTGGAGTCTAAGCAAGGTCATAAAAAGAGGAGCAGAGGCAGAAGTGAGGAGGAAAGGGACCATGTGTATGCAGGCGTGTGGTTGTGCCTCACTGACGCTCTGGGCTCAGGACGCCACAGAGTCGTGGCCAGCAGCTGGAGGAGTGGAGTCTGAGGCCTCCCTGGACTGGGCCTGTGACTTCCCTGCTCTGCGGCCTTGAACTCTTCATCTCGCCCTCCACACCATAGTTTCCTCACTGGGGCTTGCTGTTTAGAAATTGGGCAAAGTAATGAGGAGTAATGAGGAGTAAATGGCATGCTGTTTGTGAATACGATTGTCTGCCATATTATGGTTTGGTTGTCCACCAACATTAGAAATTCTGTATTATCAGTGTGCTACAGCATCTGAAGGATTTCCTAATTTAGGACATTGTCCCATATGCTGAGGGCTTACTGACATATTCTGTAATCTCGAAAGAGCCACTGTCCTTCACCTTCATGGAGAACAGAACAGGAGGGAACAGGCTGATATTTGGTTAGGGAGGCAAAAAATGTGTGGGTGGGGGTGGGAAGGAGTTTTCTGTATCTATGGGCTTATGTGGAGGTGAACCAGAGAAAAAGTTGGCCAGAGGGCCCTGGAGGCCTGAACCTAAGGAGGATGGGCATTTTCCTCCTGAAAAATGAACAGAGCTCCCTAAACCACTAACTCCATCCTTAAGAAGAGCCCACACCAACTGGGGACGCTCAGGGAGCAAAGACTGATCACGTAGCTACTCTGTGGGATGCTGGGAGGAGCCCTGGGAGAAGTACACACATTTTTGTTTTTCTTGTAACTTGACAAGAGCTTGGGCTCCTTGCTGGCAGGGACCAAGTCTGACCATTTCTGCATCCGTGAGCCTAGCACAGCCCCTGGTACACAGTGGGCACACAGTAAAGATCTGTTAAGCTGAGGTATACACTGCTTCTTCTAGGGAAGAAGGCCAAAGGAGAAATGTCATAGGGCTCTAAGCCAGCTCTGGAGATAGTCTGTCAGAGAAAACAAGCTCTCAGCTCCAACTGCTCCTTAATGGGCGAAAGTGACCTTATTGTCAGAGGTTCAATGGATTGAAAGCAAGTTGCATCCTTATAACCCAACACGCCCCATCTTAACCCACCGTGCTCTAAATATTCATCCACAGACCCAGCCTCTCTGCTAGTTCAGAGAAAAATCCATGTCTAATATGGAGACAGAGCCCCCTCCCTTCTCAGCTGCACTCAAACACCAAACCCTGAGCAGTTGCAGGAGGCAGAGGCTGCAGGGGCTCCCCAGATGCTCCCATGCCTGTGTCCAGGGTCCGTGGCTTGATCTTCCTTTTACAGCTTCTGTGACACATGCTGCCCATGGGTTCCTACTGTAGAAATGGATTCTAAGAGAGAGGGAAGGATTCCAGTGGTCTCAGGAGGAGTGTCCTCAGAGTGAGGCTCTCATTTCCTGTACGCAGCAGATGAGCAATGGGAATGGGCATTTTCCCGCACCCCGCAGTAAAGAATTTCATCATTGGGGTGCTCCCGGGAGTACACGTGTTGGCCAGAACCCAGGAGTGCCAGGGCACTTCTTAGACCTAGGCCTTTCTCTGGAATGCCCCTCCCTTCTGGAGCCTGCAGAGCTGGGGCTGTGTTTCCCCAGTCATCATAGTGATAAAGTAGCAGTGACCATGTACCACGGACCTTGTTCGCTCACTCAGCCTTCACAACAAGCCAAGTGGGTATGAGTCTCTTCCAGCTAGGAAACTGCTCAAGGTCGTGCAGTAACTAATAGCAGAACTGGGGCTCAGACCCAGGAGTTTGGGAGACAGAGCTCATCTATTTCCCTGGGTTGCCACTTGGCCCCATGTCCTCTTGGATCTTGGACGCTGTTCTATCTCTCTGTGGGAGGCCAGGGAGAGTGAGGGTAGTGGGGAGGCATGGGGCCTGCTTTGCTGGGGCAGATTCAAGGGTGGCCCTGCTCTTTGTGGCTGTTCCTTAGGGGCAGTTTCCCTTTTAGAGCATAATGGTGAAGAGCATGAGCTTTTGGGTCAGGGAGAACTGGGTTCAAATCCTGCCTCTGCTTCTGCCTGGGAGGCAGGATCTTGACAAGTCACTCAGCTTACACTGAGTTTTCTTCCCTGGAGAAAGGGGGCCAGGAGATCCAGCTCAGTGAGAGGCGTAAAAGGCATAAAAGCTGTGTGAAGAGCCGGGTAGGTGCTAAATTAATTATCAGCATCCAGGGAGAAATGCCCTTGCCTGCCGCTCTCAGTTCTTTTTAATATTCACAGTATCAACATCCCCCCGATTTCTACACGTCCCAGGCTTCAAGGATTCAGAGACCGCTAAGGCTGGAGCCCTCGGGTTCAGCAGAGGGGAAACCGTGTTATTATCAGAGACATTTGCCAGCCTGAAAAAGCGGTTTTGCTCAGAGTGGGAAAGGAAGGTGGTGACCGTATAGATATAATTGGGGTCCCAGCTGCAAGGGGGTGGCACCCCAGGTCCCAGAACCCTAGTCCTTGGCATCTGCATGTTTCCACACTTCCACTGAGGCCTTCCTCCCCTTCCGCCTCTCCCAGCGCTGAGCTGCCCACAGGGCCAGGTGTACCTGCAGTGTGGGACCCCCTGCAACATGACCTGCCGCTCCCTTTCTTACCCGGATGAGGGCTGCGACGAGGTCTGCTTGGAAGGCTGCTTCTGCCCCCCAGGGCTGTACCTGGACGAGAGAGGAGACTGTGTGCCCAAGGCCCAGTGCCCCTGCTACTATGATGGCGAGATCTTTCAGCCCGAAGACATCTTCTCGAACCATCACACCATGTGGTAAGTGTGAGCAGCAGGACTGCGGATCCCAGGAGCGGCAGAGCTTGGAAGGGAAATGGTCCTCCAGGTCCTTCACTTCTTGGGTGGGAAACTGAGGCCCAGGAAGGGAAGGGACTTGTCCAAAGTCACACAGCAAGTCAGAAGCAAAGCTGGGATTTCACCCAGCTCGAATGACTTCCTTACCTCTTGGGGACCTAGAACAGGCTGCTGGTAGGACTCCTTCGGCTTCATTGCCAACTCCCATTTGCCTGCACTAGGCCTCAGCTTCCTCTTTTGAGAACAGTAAATGGAGGCTTCCCTGTCCTTCCCTCCAGCCTCCTGGCGGTGTTCTCAGGCAGAGAACAAGAGACCATGGCAGTTTTGCTATCCTGACCTGCTTTGTGCACTGCCCTGAGAAATAGCTCCCACCACACGGGCTTCTTGCGGCCCTTTGCCTGGGGCCTCGGTCACAGTCAGTTCCAGCAGGGCCATCACGGTCATAGGAGAAACTGGTAACACAGCGTTTGTTGGGCAAACACTTCCTTGGCACGTGCTCTGCCCTGGGTGCTGGCCTAGAGGCTGGTGATCCAAAGGTGAACAAGACACAGTGTGAGCCCCAAGGAAGCGGACGGTCTACTAGGGAGACCAATTAAAATGTCTTGATCCTGGAATATTTGTCATAAAAGGAGAGAGAATAGTGTGAGGAGCCCTAAGGCATCCACCCCCAGCATCAGCGATGAATCAGCACTTTGCCAACCTTATTTTATGTATCCCCACCTCCCCTTTTTGGATGGAATAAAGAAAATCTCAGCTATAATGTCATTTCATCTGAAAATGTTTCAGTCTGTATTTCTAACAGACAAGCACTTAAAAAAAACCAAATGTAACCGTAATATCATTATTAAGCTAAGCGTTAACAGTAATTCCTGATAACACCTAATATTCCAAGCATGTTCACTTTTCCCTGACCATCTCAAAATGTCTTTTTATATATAATTGGTGTGTTCAAATCAAAGCCCAAACAAGGTCTGGTCACTGCATTTGGTATGAAGCTTTTCCTCTTCACTTAGTAAGATAAATTTGCAGTCCTTCCCAACCTCTTGTGCCCAAAGCATGTTGTTCACACTTAGAGTACAACAGTGGTTGTCCCTGGACTTGGATTTCAGCACAGTGTGTTCTAGCTCCCGTCTGGACCGTGACCTCCCCAAGAGTAGAGACCATATCTCAGGCCCCGATCCCCAGCACCTGACACACTTCTGGCAGAAGATAGGTACGGTCAGTGTTTCCTGAGATGAAAGAACTATTATGTTTGGTAGACTCGCCATTTCGTAGACATAAAAAATCTCTACTCATTCAGAAAAGGGCAGTTTGTTTCCAGTTGGAGAAGACTCAGTGCAGGAGGTAGCTTTGGGTTTGGGGAGGATCCTAGCAGTGGGCGTGGGGTGGGCCCATGCCCAGGAACTAAAACATACAGAGAGTCCCCACCCATCCCCAAGGTAAGTCCTCTGTCAGAGCATGTGTTGCATGAAGGGAAGAGAAGCTTGGAGGGATGTTGAGGGTCTTTGAAAGGCAGGGTGAGGACTTGAGCAGTAGGCAGGGAGGACCTCTGAGGTGTTGAACAGAGAGCAGACACCAAGCATCAAAGCATTCTGGAAGCTGCGTGAGGCATGAAGGCAGGGAGATCAGCTGTGGGAAGAAGTTGACACAGTCTGGTCAAAAGGTGCTAAGGCCCTGGGCCACTACCAGTGGTGGAAATGGAGTGAGGGACAGACGCCAGAGACCTTGGGATGTAAACAGACTGGGGGCCTGTGTTGGGGGGATGAGGTTTGCTGAAGATGGCCCTGGGGCTCTGAACCAGAAGGGAGGACAGGAAGAGCAAGGGGGCTCCTCATTGGTAGAGGGAAGATGATGCGTTTGGTCTTGGCCCAGATGATTAAGTTACCAAGAGGGCATATTGGTGAGTGAATGGAGTCACTGGAATGATGGGTGTGGGTGGAATGTGAGGCTGGACGAGATTTGTGTGGAGGTAGGGGGATAGCCATGGGAGTAGCAAGGCTCACGGAGGGCATGGGCCGAGGAGCAGGAAAGGGGACTGAGTCCAGAGCTTGGGGGGGGGATGTTCAGAGGGCCAGGGGAGGAGAGCAAGGACCCCGTGAGAGAAACCAAAGGAAAAAGGCCAGCAGAAAGGCATAACTAGGGCAGAGCCGTATTGTGGAGGGGAAGGGCGCAGGGGAGTAATAACATCTGTTGGTTTGAGCGTCGGGCCTTCGCCCAGTGGTCGTTTTACTGCAGTTGTCTGGCTATGATTTTTAGGGTGTTTCTCTCTGGGACCTTAAAACAATGCTGTTAGGAGGCAAGCATTGCTTTTTTAAGTAAGGAATTTGAGGCTTAGAGAGATTATCGCTTTCCCAAATCATCTAGTGAGCGATAAAACCCAGGGACTCTTGAACTCTTCATGTTCCACGGAGAGTAGGCTGTTGAATTTGGCGACAGAAGGTCATGGTGGCCGCCATGTTGCAGTAGCGTGGTGAGGAAAGCAGCCAGAGGGTAGGAGGCTGGGAGGACTTGGAGGGCAGCGAGTGCCCCTGGTCGTTTTACCATATCGGGGGCACCAGGAAGGTGGGAGATGAGGTGCAGCGGCCGAGTGAAGAGCCCTGGCTTCGGGCTGTCTTCGGGATTTGCACATCAGTGACCTCTCCATGATGTGGAAACCTCCTCTTCCCAGTATCTCCTTCAGGCACCAGGGCTGAAAGCTAGTGGCCATCCTGTCTCTCCACTTCATTTAGAAAACGGGACTTCCGGAGAGTGGGAGCCAGCGGGAACTCAGGGCCTGTTTGTGGCTCTTTAGTTTTACTCTTTAGATGATACACTGCAGAATGAGCCCTGCGGGGCACATGCTGGGGATGTCCACAACGGGTGGTAGGGAGTGCAAACCCCTGTGGCTAGTGAGTGTCTTCGGGCCATTTGGTTGGTCATCGAACAGCCTTCACAGCAGAGGTCTTGCTCTCTTGCAAAGCCAAGGTCTGGGCCAGGAGTTGATTATAAACTTATCTGCAAGGTTTTTCTTTTCTTCTTTCTAAAAATAAAATTAAGCTTTTTAAAAAAGATTTATTTGTTTGAGAGAGAGAGTAAGAGAGAGAGAGCATGAGTGGGGAGGGAAGGAGAGAAAGAAGCAGGCTCCCCGCTGAGCAAGGAGCCCAACGGCAAGCTCAGTCCCAGGACCCTGGGATCACGACCTGAGCTGAAGGCAGATGCTTAACTGACTGAGCCACCCAGGCGTCCCCAAAAGTAAGCTTTTGGGTCACATCTAAATGACAGACCGTGACATTTGGGGGAGGATATCTTTAAATCGGGTGTTAGTTAAAAACCAGAGGGCACAGTTTCTGTATGTGCCCAGAGATGGAAGGGCTGATTCTCTTGCTCATTCAATTAAAAATTAATTGAACAGCATTCACATTAAAAATGTTCAAAATCATTACAGCCAGAGAAATACAAATTAAAACAATTAGTGTTACCTCATATCTATTAGAGTGGAAAATTTTGAAATCTGTATAATGCCAAGTGTTGGCAGGGCTGTGGAAAAGGGGCCCTCGATCTGCTACTGGTGGGACACACACTTTTCAGATAACCCAGTATCTTTCCAAAACCAAGATCTGATTACGTCACACCCCTGCTTGGAATTCTTAATAGCTCCCCTTCAGGAGACCTCAGGATAGAGACCAAATCCCTAAGATGGCCTCCTAGGTCCCATGCACTTGGACCCCTGCCTACCTCTCCCCTCTCCAGCCCCCGGCCTCCTTTAATCTGGAAGGTGCCTTGCTCCTTTCAAGTGCGAGGTCAGTTGCCCCCAGGAGAGCAGTTGGCACAGTTTATACAAATTAGATATCCACATTTGATAGTCCCACAGTTCCATTCTTGGGCATATATACTAAAGAAATTCTCACATGGGCTCTTAAGAGCATGTGTATGAAGATGTTAATCACAGCTTTGTTTCTGGTGGCAAGGAGCCGGTGATAATCTCTGTCCATCCCTGGGAGGGTACGTCCTTAAAATGCAGTGGATGCACACTATAGAGGGTTGTGCAACCCAGAAGGCTCCTGGCAAGTAGGTATGTATTAGCAGGATTGAATCTTTTTTTTTTTTTTTTTTTAAGAGAGAGAGCGAGCAGGGGAGGGGCAGAGGAAGAGAGATAATATTAAGTAGGCTCCACGCTCAGTGCAGAGCCCTACACGGAGCTTGATCTCATGACCCTGAGATCATGACCTGAGCCGAAATCAAGAGTCAGATGTTTAACCAACGGAGCCACCCAGGTGCCCTGGCAGGGTTGAATCTTAAACACATGGTGCTAAAGAAAACAGCCAAACAGAGTGTGATATATAAGATAATACTGCTTACATAAATTAAACATACATGTGTGCAAAATAAACACATATTTTATAAGAATACACTCAGGCAGATATACATTAAACAGAATAAGATTGCATTAGTTTTCTTTATTTACTGCTGCATAAAACAATTAACCCCAAATGTAGCAGCTTCAAGCAATGAACATGTATAATCTCACCCAGTTTCTAAGGGTCAGGACTCTGGGAGCAGCTTGGTTAGGTGGCTTGGCTCGAGTTGGCGCATAAGGCCGGAGTCGTCTGGAGACTTGAGTGGCGCTGGAGGGTCCATTCCCAGCTCATTCGCACAGCTTTTGCCCCGTGGACCTCTCCACTGGGTGGCTTGTGAACTAGTTGCCCCAGAATGAGTAAGCCAAGAGAGAGCACCAAGACAGAAACTGCAGTCTTTCATCACCTAATCTTAGGCGACATGTGGTATGTCACTGTTACCACATCCTGTTGGTCACATCGACCAACCTTGGTGCAACGGAGATAACACAGTGTGAACACCAGGATGTGGGGATCACTGGGGGCCATTTAGGAGACCAGATATCATAAAAATAGTTGTGCATGTGAGGGGAGGGGATTGGGATTGGAGGAGAGGAAGGAAAGAATATAAAAAATATATTGAATACTTTATGCAAAGCCTTATGCCAGCTGCTGAGGAGATAATGGGCAAGACCAGTCATGGCTTCTACCCTCTTAGATCTTATAGTCCAGTGACAGAGAGAGAGAAGTTAGCCAAATAATAACTCAATACATGCAAAGGCACAAGCGGGGGAGGAACAGCAGTACGTGGTCCATGAATGCTTGACATGGGCTAGAGAAAGGGTAGGCAGGGGTCTGAGTGCATGGGGCCTGGGAGGTCCTCTTAGGGATTTGGTCTCTATCCTCAGGCCTCCTGAGTGGAAGCTACTGAAGGAATCTGAGCAGGGATGTGACATAATCAACTTCAGGTTTTGGAAAGATACTTGGGCTGCCAAGAGAAGTGTGTTTGGAGAGAGGCAAGCATAGGTGCAGGGACATCCATCAGGATGTTTTTGCCTCGTCCAGGTGGGAAGTGGCAGTGGCTCGAGAAGTGGATATGAGTGCCGGAGATATTTTGGAGACAAAGTCCAAGGGCTGGGTGATGGCCAGACGTAGGGGGTGGGAAGAAGGCAGGGTCAGGGCTGACCCCTCATTTGCTGGTTTGTGAAACTGGGTGGATGGTGGTATCATTCAATGAATCGGAGCCCTGGAGGAGGACTGGTTTTGGTGCAGGGGATCATGAGGTCAGTTTTGGACATACTGGGTTTGAAGTCTTTGAGACACCAAGATGGCGATCATGTAAGTGCTTGCACGTATGGATCTCGGGTTCAAGGGGGAGACCCCAGCGGCTGATGTGAATGTGCGAGTCATCTCTGTCATAGAAGCTGAGGGTGTGGATGACGGCACAGGGTGAGAAGAGAGAGCCGAGGGAGGAGCCAGCAGGGGGGTGAGACTGAAGGAGCAACCAGGAAGGTAGGAGAAAACAGAGAGAGATTTTTTCTTTTCCTAGAAGAGCAGAATAGTCACAGTGATGAAACATGTGGAAAAGGATCAGGTAAGGAAAGAACTGAAGACATTCCATTAGGTTTGGTAACATGGAGGCCACTGGGAGGCTCAGCAGCTTGCATTTCCGTCGCGTTACGAGACTGCCTGAGTTGGAGGGGGCAGAGGGTGAGCGGGAGGCGAGGAGAAGGAGCCGGCCAGGATCCCAGGGTCGCCACTCTTGCAAAGCTGGCCTCTGACCTTCCCCTCTGCAGTTACTGTGAGGATGGCTTCATGCACTGCACCACGAGCGGAGCCCCAGGCAGCCTGCTGCCCAACACCGTGCTCAGCAGTCCCCTGTCTCACCGCAGTGAGTACAGCCCCCCGGAAGGGCTCCCCACCTCCCCGCTGGGCTGCTCTGGCCCATGTGCATGTGCGCATGTGTTCGGGCGCGTGTCGGGACTGACACAATGCTGTTTGTGTGACTGATTCTCAGGCCTTGATGTGCCTTTGCATGTGTATATCCAAATTTTTGAGGCAAGGAGGAATTTTAGGGGAAAAGATTCAGTTATCTGCAAGATGGACTCAGTGGGACTTCCGTTTTGCCCACAGTGACCTTAACCTAGTGAGCAGCTGTAAGTTGGTTGCCTTGATTGTAGTGAAGACCACCCTCCTTCCTTGGCTTCTTTTTACCCAGGGACATTCTGACAAGGATATCTATCTATCTATCTATCTATCTATCTATCTATCTATCTATCTATCATCTATCTATAGATCTATCATCTATCTATCATCTATTCATCTAATCATTTTAATTGATTTTTATTCATCGTGATAAGTGCACTCTTTAATTTCCATCCCCTCTTTCCCCCGTGTCCCCACCCACCTCCACCCTGGTAACCAGCGGTTTGTTCTCTAGAGTTAAGAGTCTGTTTCTTAGTTTCTCTCTCTTTTTCCCCTGTGCTACTTTGTTTTGTTTCTTAAATTCCACATATGAATGAAATCATATGGTATTTGTCTTTCTCTGACTGATTTTCCTTAACATTATACTCTCTAGCTCCATCCATGTTGTTGCAAATGGCCAGATTTCATTCTTTTTATAACTGAATAATATTCCACTGTGTGTGTATGTATATATATATATATATATATATATATGTACCACACACATATATATATACCACACACATATATATACCACATCTTTATCCATTCATCTGTCAATGGATACTTGGACTGCTTCCATAGTGGGGTTACTGAAAATAATGCTACAGTAAATATAGGGGTGCGTGTTTCTTTTTAAAGTAGTGTTTTTATCTTCATTGGGTAAATACCAAGTAGTGGAATTATTGGTAATTCTATTTTTAATTTTTTTGAGGTACCTCCACACTGTTTTCCAGAGTGGCTGCACCAGTTTGCATTCCCACCAACAGTGCTAGAGGGTTCCCCTTTTTCTGCATCCTCACCAACACTTGTTGTTTCTTGTGTTGTTCATTTTAGCCATTCTGACAGGTATGAGGTGATATCTCATTGTAGTTTTGATTTGCATTTCCCTGATGATGAGTGATGTTGAGCATCTTTTCACGTGTGTGTTGGCCATCTGGATGTCTTCTTTGGAGAAATGTCTGTTCATGTCTTCTACCCATATTTTAATTGGATTATTTGTTTCTTGCGTGTTGAGTTGTGTAAGTTCTTTATATATTTTGGATACTAACCCTTCATCAGATATGTCATTTGCAAATATCTTCTCCCATTCAGTAGGTTGCCTTTTAGTTTTGTTGATTGTTTCCTGCACTGTGCAGAAGCTTTTTATTTTGATGTAGTCCCAATAGGTCATTTTAACTTTTGTTTCTCTTGCCTCAGGAGACCTAACTAGAAAAAAGTTGCTACAGCCGATGTCAGAGAGATTACTGCCTGTGCTCTCTTCTAGAATTTTTATGGTTTCAGATCTCACATTTAGGTCTTTAATGACAAGGACACCTGTTTAGAAAGCTTTTCAGATGGATTTGAATGCAGGGATCTTGGACCCTTTGTTCTCAGTTTGAAGGTCCTAATAGTTGCTACACTGTTTAAGGACAAGACACAGAAGGGAGAAGGGGCTGGCCTGGCACTGGTGGGACCATATTCACGTTTATGATCAAGGAGAACTAATTGGCTTCCAGATGGAGCCTTGCTTGGAAAAGACTATCCCAGTAGAGGGAGAGGGATGATTTTAGACAGATACATGGGCTATTTTCAACCGCCAGCTTGACCACCTCTCTCTGCTTTTCTCTTCCCTCAAGACCCCATCTCTCTAAGTGACCCAGATGTGTGCTCTGTATTTGTTCTCCAGTTTGCCCTGGGAGAGAAGTCAGGATGCCCCATGTGACTGCTTGGGGAGTATCTCTCAGCCTTAAGCTGGGGCAAGATCCCAAGCACGTGGACGGCTCAGAAGTTGAAATCAGAACTTGCAACCTTGTCTCTTTCTTTCAGGCTGCCATAGCAAAATACCACAGACTAGGTGGTTTAAGTGTGAGAAATACAGATTTCTGTATTTCTGTATTTGTCTTGTAAATGCACTTCTCACAGTTATGGAGCCTGGAAGTCCAAGGTCAAGGTGCTAGCAGGGTCCCGGTGAGGGTTGCAGACTTCTCAGTGTCCTCATAGGGCGAGAGGGGCTGGCAGCTCGGTGGGCTCTCTTCATCAGAGCATGAATCCCATCTGTGAGGGCTCTACCCTTATGGCCCCCATCATTTCCCAAAGGGCTCACTTCCTATCATCACTACCTTTGGGGTCAACACGTGAATTTTGAGGGGGCAGGACATTCAGTCCACAGTAGACCTGAGAGGGTCACTAAGTCCTTCTGTCCCTCTCTCCGACGGTTGCTTGTGTCACCACCCTCTTGGCTGTTTTCTAGCCTATAGTCCCTGGAAGGTGCTTTTTAAAATTTATTATGTGTGTATGTATGTATGTATGTGTGTATGTCAGGAAGCTCCTAGAATTTTGTGCAATTTGGAAGGTCCACTTAGTCTTTCAGGTTATCAGCTTCTTAACAAAAGTTTCTGTTTAAAAGTAAGGCTGGAACTTGTCCACAGGAGATAGTAAGTGCTCTATATAGTCAGATATAAATGCTGTGAGGTGCATCTGGGTTTTTGAAAGGAAAGTGCTGTGGCAATCCTCCTGTCATCATTTATTCAGTCATTGTTACCCACCAACTGTCGGGAAGTAGGATACATCCATGTACAAAAGAGACAAAACCCCTGCTTTCAGGGCGCCTGGGTGGCTCAGTCGGTTAAGTGTCTGCCTTCGGCTCAGGTCATGATCTCAGGGTCCTGGGATAGAGTCCCACGTCCCCCTGCTCAGTGGGGAGCCTGCTTCTCCCTCTGCCTCTGCCTCTCCACCTGCTTGTGCTTGCTCTCTCTCTTTCTCTCTCTAATAAATAAATAAAGTCTTAAAAAAAAACCCTGCTTTCATGGAACATATATTCTGGTATTCTAGTGGGGGTGGTGGGCAATGAACAAATAAGTAAAATAGATAGTATATCAGAAGGTAGCATTAGAGGTGATCAGATGGAGGATGACAAAGCAGAGACGGCAGGGAGGAGTGTGGAGAGACAGAGTGTAGCAAATTGAAACAGAACAAATGGAGTGGACAGTGGCTGGGCAGAGGATGACATGGAAGCAAAGTCCACCTTAAAGATTTTGTGGCTAAATTAGTTGTGACCATTTTATGAATGGTCCAGCTGGGGCCCACAAAGTTTCCTTTTTAGCACCCAAACACAGGTCCTTTAAAGCCTAGGTCTGGACATTTCCACAGTACATCCTGATTTAATGCAACCTGCTGCGGTAGGTTCAAGGGGAATGAGGAGCGGGATGACATGGGATGCAGAGGGCAGGAGGGATGCCTTCGACCTAGGCAAAGGTC